CAGTTCTCTTGAGTGTATACCTAGAAGTAGACTTGCTGGATAATAGTAATTCTATATTAAACTTTCTGTGGACCCATAAGGCTGTTTCCTATAGGGCTGTACAATTTTATATTTCCACCTGCACTGCACAAGGGTTCCAGTTTCTCCCCATCCTCTCCAACACTTTTTGTTATAGCCATCTTAGTAGGTGTGGAAAGACTATTGGTTTTTCATAATGTTCGTAAGCATAGAGTATTGCTACAAACTTGGTGGGGGAATTAATGAGCATAATTTTATATGTTTCAGGAGGATAAACTTAGGCAAGTTCTGCAGGAGATGAAAGCTTTGTATGAGCAAAACCTACCTGATGTGTAAGTTAGCAAGTTGATATTTTAAAATAGTTTAAGAAATATGATATTGATGTCAGATCATCTTAAAATTAGTTTTGAGGTATGATTTTTTTTAATTTTCTGTGAACCTGGTCATACCCTAGCTATACAGAAGTAGAAGGATTTGTGTTAATGGTTGTTATGTCTCTAGGGACCAAATAGTCCTTGCCACATGGTAGGTGTTGGATAAACACTTCTTGTTTGACTGGTATGACTTGAAAGAAATTAGGATGGATCCAAGAGAAATGACCCAGGAGCAAGGAACAGACCTGACGAGTGAAGTGCATTGTTTCCACTGCTTGTTTTCATCAGGTGAGGCCTTAGTGGGTTTAAAGGGTGAACAGGCAATTTGCAAATTTAGCAGGAGTAGCAGTGACTTCCGAAAGCTTGAGTGAAGTTGGCTGGGAACTCGTGCAGCAGAACACTACAGCCTGGTAGGCTGGAGGATTCTGGAGTTGCAGACTGTTTAGAGCCAAGCATGGGAGTGGGCACGGAGGAGAATTTGAGCTGAATGACCAACTGCAGAGGACCTGTGATTGGGTGAAGAATAAGACACAAGACTACTGACTGCTGGAGGAAAAGTGAGTTATTAAGAGTTCACTCTGGAGAGAAGTATGTCTGCAACTTGAGATTTCATCCCTGGCCTTGTTCGGTAGTGTTTTCATCAGTTAGTTGGGCATAGAAATCAGTAGCATGCTGTTAGGGTGTGTGGAGTACACAGAACAGTAGGAACAGTTTGCAGTGACTGTGTTTAAGGATAGATGCTGATGAACGAGGAACTGATGTGCAAGAGGTCTGCAGTAAACATAAGGGAAATGGAAAGTCCTGCACTCAGGTTCCAAGTCCTTCATTTGTTCATGCAACAGATATGCACTCAGCAGTTATGAGCTGATAAAGGGCTCTGGTGTTTCAGTTGTAAACAGCAGAATCAAGAGGTTTGCCCCCATGGCCCTCAACAGTGTCATGCAGAAAGCAGATGTTACATGCAGGTAAAGCAGGTCAGAGTACCTGCCGTGAAGGAAAACACCACACTGGGAGAGTCATGCACTGAAAATATCGGTAGATTGAGAAATCGGGGAAATTCTCTCTGAGGAATAGACTCTTCAGCTGGAGCCTGAAGACATGGGTTCTAGCGAGGAAGTAACTGTGGGCAGAGAGCATGCTAGTTGGAGGAAACAGCGTGTGCAAAGTCCCTGAGTCTTGAAAGAGGGTGGGATGCCCAGGGACCTGGTCATTCCCAAAGGCCAGTGTGGCTGGAACTTAGTGAGCAGGCTAAGGGTGACACCAGGGGAGATGTTTAAGCATGTGGGGTAGGTGGTGGCATGTTTGTATTCTAAGGACCACCCTGGCTACCATGTGGATAGTGAATGGTGGTACTGAGAGGGAGGATGGTGGTCATGCAGGTGAGAGGAGAGGTTAGCCAGACTAGGGGAAAGGAGAACAGTTTGCAGACCTATTTAGGAGGTGACTGAACAGGCCTTGGTCTGGTAATGAAATGATTTTCCTGTATTCATACCATGGAGAAATTCAGGATCCAAAATTCTGTGCCCTATCCTCCTAGTTTGGTTCTGGGCAGGACGCCACTATTACCAGTTTCTGGCTAAAATTCTTTGTCAGAAGAAATCTATTCTTATTTAATTGCTCACATGGAAATGTGACTTTTTAAAGGACGTTCTTGTGTACTTAATCAAGAACTTTGATGTTAAGTTGGGTGTATTTTATTTGTGCTATTTCATTATAATCAAGAGTGCATTGTAAGCAGTGTGGAGAATAAATCTAACATTTGTGAAGTGGCAGACGTGTCTAGAACAGATCTAGAAGATATGGTACATCTATGTACATGGTACAGATCTAGAAGACACAGGACGTATATTTTGCCTCTGTTTTTAGAGCCTAGAACAGGCACATACATTTTGTATTTATCTGTTTCCTTTTAAAATGCCAAAGTAGATATTTATTAATTCTGTATATCTGGTTTTGTTTTCCTTTTTTTTTTTTTTTTTTCAATTGTGGTTAAGATACACACTAGGTATGTCAGTTGTAAGGAATTTGACTGCCAATGCAGGAGATGCATTCCCTGGGTCGGAAAGATTCCCTGGGGGAGGAACTGGCGACCCACCCCAGTTCTCTTGCCTGGATAATTCCATGAACAGAGGAGCCTAGCAGGCTACAGTCCATGGGGTCAGAAAGAGTTGGACATGACTGAGTGGCTGAGCACACATACAATTCAGTGTATTCAAAACATTCATAGTGTCATATAGCTATCACCACCACCATCTTCTCCAGAACTCTTCATTTTACAAAGCTGAAACACCACACCCAGTAAACAGTTGTATATCTGATTGGAAAGGGTGATGCTTGTCTGATATCTAAGGGGACATATATTTTATAGGGTAAAGCCAAAATTTTTTCCCTTTCTGTGTAAAGGAACCTAAACTACAAACATGCACATAGTTGAAGATCAAGAACTATTTCTTGGATGAGTGGAGGAACATTTGACTTTAGAGTCCTTTGTTCACTTTATGAGAAGGAGTATCAGTTGAAAGTATTGATACCATAGAAAGAGGACTCCATAGGATGAGAGCATGTGAGGCCATAATCTTATGCACTGTGATATTTGATCTCTTATCCCATCATGAAAAAGGGATTCTAAAAAGTGAGACAAAAGTTTGTCTTTTGGAGACAATGGAAATTAATCAGTGTGCAAAACCCAATGTGCCCCATGTCTAAGGAGTGTGATCCTAGGCAAATCAGTTAGGTATTTATATATATATATATATTTATATATTTATATATTTATATATTTATATATATATATATATTAGTTTAAGTTTGTCCACACAGCTTGCAGGATCTTAGTTCCCTAACCAGGGATTGAACCTGTGCTCTCAGCAGTGAAAGTGCAATGTCTTAAACATTGACCTACCAGGGAATTCCCTGGCTCTTTTCTATTTTATCCTATTAGCTAAAGCTCTGATGTGGAGGCAGGTACTATTTAGGTAGGTTAACTACTAACACAAATAGCTAACAACAAGTATGGAGTCAGTTGTTAGCTGGGTTTGAAATTTTGACTTGTACTCAATAGACATTCTTTTCCTTAAATGTTTTACCAGGAATAACGCAAAGTCAAGTGGATGAGGTGATTTGATACCAGCCATCAAGTTTTAACACTGTTCTTTGTTAAGAAATCAGCGCTGCACCAGAACCTGCCTGTGAGCTTCTCAGTGTTTGCAGGGGTGGCAGGGATCAGTGGAGGGTTCCCATCCCAGGGGGTGTCAAAAATTCTTGGAGATGTCTGTCTTTTATGAGCATTCTGAATTTTGTCTTTGTTTCCCTTTAAACATTTTTTATCATAGAAAATTGCAGTATTCCTAAAACTAAGGAGTAATATTACAGCCCTCCATGGAGCCATCGTATAGGGCAAACAGTTCTTAACATCTTGCCATAATTGCTTTGTCTTGTTTTATGTGTCTAGGCTAAACATTAGGCATTTTACCACTGAATAGTTTTGTATGCATCTTTAAGAAATAAGGCCCTCTGGGGCCTTTTCTCACTGCATAATTGACCTATGGCCACTGTATACTTCTCATGCCTAGAGCAGTGACCATCCCTTCACAGCATCTGTCCAGTCTGTTCCTCTTTTCCCTGTTGTCCCGAAGGTGTCCTTTTACAGTGGATTGTTTGCCTCTGGAACAAAATCAAAGTCCATGTGTTATCTTCCGGTGGTTCAGTCCTAAGCCTCTCCTGATCAAGACAACTTCTGGTCCAATGCTGTATTAATGTTCTAGGTATGACCGGCTGCTTCGGATTAGAGCCCTCAGGTGGGATTATGGCAGTATCTTGCCAAGTGCTTTACGATTTCACATGTCTGCTGAAGAAATTAGTTAACACTGTTGTTCAAATTTGTAAATTCAGAAACTGGCTAAACTTCTGGCTCAGCTTCTGTAATAGTATTTATAGTACTTGTCCTTTTGTTTTAACATTTGCTTTTCAGTAGTTTTTGGTCTGTTTGAGAATGGTAGAAGTAATTCTAAATGCTGTATGGAAAACTCTATTAACAAAATAAAGGGTCCCATTATGTTAGTTGCTAGAGATCCAACAGTAGGGTTAAAACTGGCATTATTATTTGGAGATTTTTCATAAAATGTGTGTGTACATACTTTGCTTGGGGCTTCCCAGGTGGCACTTGTGGTAAAGAACTTGCCGATGCAGGAGATGTAAGTGATGCGAGTTTGATCCCTGGGTTGGGAAGATACCCTGGAGGAGGGGCATGGCAACCCACTTCAGTATTCTTGCCTAGAGAATCCCATGGACAGAGAAGCCTGGAGGGCTACAGTCCACTGGTCGCAAAGAGTTGGACATGACCAAGTGATTAATTAACACTTTCTTTCACTGTATAGCACAGGAAAGTCTACTTAATGTTATGTGGCAGCCTGTTATGTGGAGGGGAGTTTGGGGGAGAATGGATACATGTATATCTATGGTTGAATCCCTTTGCTGGCCACATGAAACATTGTTAATTGGCTATACTTCAATGTAAAATAAAACATCTTTTTTAAAAATTGAGGACACAAAAATTTTTGTTTGCGTTTTATCTGTTGATATTCATATTGATTCATATTGATCTCATACCTGCTTTTGTATTCAATCTGTTGCAGTAAATGGTTTTGGCTGCAAGATGTGAAAGAAACTCAGCCTCACAATATCTGTGGTTTGGAAAAGAGAGAAGTTAATAGTCTTTTTGGGCCTCCCAGGTGGCTCAGCAGTAAAGAACCCACCTGCCAATGCAGAAGACACTGGTTCGATCCCAGGTGTGGAAGATCTCTTGGAGAAGGAAATGGCAACCCACTTCAGTATACTTGTCTGCAGAATCCCAGGGACAGAGGAGCCTAGAGGGCTACATTCGAGAAAAGTCCACAAAAGAGTTGGACACGACTGAACCACTAAACAACAATGACTGTAGTCTTTTAGTTTGCTGTGGCTGTTCCTCTTTGATACTACGCCAAAACTCAACAGATGTCATTTCTTAAACCTTAGTGACAGTGTGGAATCTGAAACTATATCAATGAACCGATTATACTCTATTACAATCCATTGGTCTGTCTTGCTTTTGAATGGTTCTATTCTCCATGCGTGTTTCTGGAACTCGTGCCCTGGTCATTCGAAAAATATTGGTTCACTGAGTTAGTTATCAGATCTTCCAGATGTTGACACACCTCATTCTACACAATAAGCAACAACCAACCAACCAACAAAACAAAAATCCAAACAAATAAAAAAGCCTGTACTTGCATTAGTGTCATTACTAATCTCATCAAACTTGGGACACTTTCAAACTCACGGTAGCATATGGAAGTTTTCCAAACTCTTAATTTTCACATGAGAGCTCTAATTGTATCACTGGCCACAAACACCTATAGTTTTCTTCCCTTGAAGTGACAGGCTCACTTCATTCACTTGAGAAAATCATGCCAAAAACTCAAGTCTGAGTAACTATTTTTGTCATGTGCTCTTTTAAGGGAAAGTAGCCAGTCAGTGAGAAACGTGACTTTCAGCTCACAGTTCAATCGTTCTGAGTGCTTTTCCTAGAGATAATTATGATACTTCTTCAGGCACACTTCCCCTTTGTCACACGACATGCTGAAAAGATGTACTGGAGAGTGGAGATTTAATAAAATTTATAATTCTGTTGCTTTATCAACAGCAAAAGCAGCCTGTTCTTTTTTTGTATGGAGCTCGCACAGTGGCAGAAAGAGAGCGAGAGCCTGAGCCTGCGGGCACAGTCGGGAGCCCCGCCTTGGCTCCTGTTTGGCGCCAGCAGCTCTGCCCGCTGCTCTGTCAGCAGTGCAAACACCAACCAAGTGAGAACAGCAAAGGACACGTCAATAATGCCTTGATCACCATGTCTGCCTTGTAGATCCCCTGGAAGGGTCTTGGGGACCCCCGGGATATGTGAACAAGACCTGGAGAACAAGTAAGAACTGACACTTGAATTCAAATGAAAAAGTTAGAATAACTTTTTTTTTTCTTTCTCTAATGATTTTTAATGGAGTTATCATTCAAAGGTTTATAAAATTATCTCACAAATATCCTATGGAAAAACTGAAAGCCAATTCCATTGGCAGCACTATTTGCCTTACTTCCTCCAAAAAAAAAATTGTGGGAGAGAGGAGGATTAAGAACTGGAGGCCCAAGGGAGTGTATCAGGCATGTGGAGCCATGCAACAAGCATGTAATGGCGAGCACACACAGTCCTGGGGCCACAGAGGCAAGGGGTGCTGGGGACTCAGGGCCCTCGGTCAGCTTCCCCCTCACAATCTCGCTAGCTAGCCACACGCCCCTCCACAACAGTCACACACACACAGAGCCTCACTTTGCCATGGCTAACTTCATACAACACAAACGACCAGCCTAACTATGGTTACACTCACACAATACAATCAGACAGCCATGCTCATCTCCATAGTCAAACACCCAACCTCACTGTGCTCAAAACCAAGTCACACGATTTTGTATTCACAGTTGAAGAATTTCAATGAGCACAATCCAAGCACTGCTGCACTCAAATTATCAGTACAGCAGCTTGTGTGCATATTGTTCACAGGGTGAGAGGTTTTGGCGACTGGCCAACCTGTGTTCAGGCTCAGGTTCTACCACTTATTAGTTCTTTCACCTTGGGCAAATTATTTAACCTGCCTGATCCTCAGTTATAGAAGAAGGGGATAGTTCCTACCTTGGAAACATGATGTGAGGAAGGGCTAAAGGCCACATTTTGTTGGACAGATGTGCTCTAAGGATAGGCTGTAGCTGCCATGGATAGATTTTGTCACCAGAGAGCACCAGGGCTCCAAGATGTCAATGAGGGCCACTGGAAGAAACCCTGCCAGGAAGCCCAGGATTCCTGGGGAGCCTGGAGTCAAGTGAAGACTGGGATGGGGTGGGGACGGGGCTGCACAGATTCTGGAAACCCCAGCAAGGCTCAGACCAGCTGGGAGCTGCTCCTGGGCCAGGTGGGCCCCTGATAGGATCATGGCCTTCCCTAGTAAAGAGGATGAGCACTTACTATGTACCAGGCCCTCTTTCGTGCCTACTTCACCCTGTTTAATCCCCACAACACTACTGTGACTGGTAGCCACTACTGATAGTCTTCTGTTGAGGGATATTGAGGAAAGCGAGGTTCCAGTTTACCTGGCTATCGAGTGGAAGTCCTGGGATAAGAATGCAGGCATCCATGGCTGTCTTGGGGGCCCCTCCCACCCACTTTCTGGGGCACTGTCAGGGCTCCCTGACCCTGGTTAGCTGCCCTGGAGCTCAGCCAGCCCCAGCTGACCCTTTCTCCTCTCTCAGTCTTCTCCCAGCCTGCTCCCTGAGCTAACCCAGGGGTAAGAGGCTATAAAGCATGTGAGGGTGACTGGTAAGGCAGGACCCCCCAGTAAACCCTATCCAGCCTCACCATCCTCAGCTGCTGGGAGTTGTGGGGTACTGCCAGCAGATGGAGACCCACCCACTTGGGCTGTCAGATACACTGACGTAGGGCACGGTGCCACTCCCCATCATGCCACAGCTCCCTGTGATGTCATAATTGGCAGGCACATCATGGCTTTGTCCTCCTTGCAGTCTGAAAGGGCTACTCAGACAGGACCCAGGGAGATGGAGTCAGACAGCAGCCTTACCCAGGCTCCAGGTCAGCCAGCTGGGTGGGCTGGACTGGAAGGAGGAGGTGGTGTCTCAGGATTCTCCCCAGGGTGGATGGCCATTTTTGGTGTTGGCTGCTCCACTTATAGCCACTCCTCCCAATCCAAGGAGGTTCTGGGTTAAGTGGGGGCAGGGGCAGTGGGAGGAGTCTCTTATCCCTCAACAGGATAGCTCTGGGTGTCAGCCTTTAACCCAGGACTAGCCTCCTGCTCCTCACAGGGAGGCCCGATCCAGTGGAATTGGGGCCTTACTTCCACACCTTAAGAAAGCAGTGAGGATCCTGCTGAGATTTATGTCGGAGAGTGTTTTGCATATGTTATCCTCTAGGAGTTTTATAGTTTCTGGTCTTACATTTAGATCTTTAATCCATTTTGAGTTTATTTTTGTGTATGGTATTAGAAAATGTTCTAGTTTCATTCTTTACAAGTGATTGACCAGTTTTCCCAGCACCATTTGTTAAAGAGATTGTCTTTTCTCCATTGTATATTTTTGCCTCCTTTGTCGAAGATAAGGTGTCCATAGGTTCATGGATTTATTGCTGGGCTTTCTATTCTGTTCCATTGATCTATATTTCTGTCTTTGTGCCAGTACCATACTGTCTTGATGACTGTGGCTTTGTAGTATAGTCTGAAGTCAGGCAGGTTGATTCCTCCAGTTCCATTCTTCTTTCTC